CCCACTCGCCCTGCAGCCTCTGCACCCCCCCGCCCCTGCAGCCTCTGTGCCCCCTGCTCCCCACTCGCCCTGCAGCCTCTGCACCCCTCCGCCCCCGCAGCCTCTGTGCCTCCTGCTCCCCACTCGCCCTGCAGCCTCTACACACACACACCCTGCTGCCGCCTGCCCTGCTCCCCCCGCTCACCCAGCAGAGGGAGAAATGCAGGCTCCACGTGGAATCAAACACAGCCCCGCTGCTCTGTGGGGGAGAAGGGAGTGGGGGGAGGGGGAGGGACTCTGGCTGCTAGAGGCCCTAGTGGCTGCGAGCGGCTTTCAATCAGGCCAGGCGTCCAAATCAGCCGCGCCGCACGAGGGGAAGGGGGAAATCCCGGACATTTCTACTTGATTAGAAATCCCCCCCGGACGGCCATTTAACACTGAAAAAGCCGGACATGTCCGGGGAAACCCGGACGGATGGTAACCCTACCAGACTGACCAGTGTGTTCTGTTTGCCCATATTCTTCAGAAGATTTAGCCAGCTGGGCACTGTGTTGAAGTCAAAGATAGGGGAGCTATGCATTTGGTTGTCTTTAGGTAGGGTAATGGGAGAAAGGAAGGTACCCATGATTCCTCCAACACATTTTAAATAACATATGGTGGCTGCATTCAAGCTCATGCTTTTAAAGTAGTTGCTATAGTCCTATTCCCCTAAGGCTATACTACACACCACTGTTGGCACCGTGTAGGGTATGTGTAGCCTCATGCCACAGCGAAAAGCAGGCTGTGTCCATACTGCAGTGCATAGCAACATGTTAGTGAAAGGCTCTGGCAGGGGGGGAGGCAGCAGGGAAGGCTCAGCCCCCCCCCGCCCGCCCCTCCCATATCAGAGCCTTTTCCCCCTACCAGAGTCTTACCCAGCTGCAGAAAAAGACTCCAGCAACAGGGACATGCTGACATCTGTCCCTGAGGCAGGAGAATGGCTCCAGCAGCGGGGAGCTGCCGAAGCCTTTCCCCACTGCTGAAGACTTTTCCTGTAGTAAGGAAAGGTTCCGGCAGCAAGGAGACAGCGGGACACTACACTGCTAAAAACAGCAGTGTAGATAGGGAGGCCTGGCTTGGGCGAGGGTAAAGCCAGGTAGGTTGTGTATTCAGGCATGTACCTACACCCTTCAGGCATGTCTTTACTCACCTAAGCCATGCCTCATGGCCTACATTGCTCTTTATACCTGTGCTAGGGGGGCTACGTGTGTATGTACACTACACAGTGCCAAAAGAAGCTTGCACCCTAAGACCTGAGGGAAAGATGCAGCAGCTTCCCAAGCACAGAATTAATAAACATGCATAATATTAAAAAAAACAAACCCTCTCCGCCTCTTTATGTGTTTGAGCTCTTTGTGTGTCTCCTATAGCATGATGCTGTGATGTTGGAGCATAAAATTTTTTTTCATTAATATGCATAAATACAAAATAGGGAGTAACTGGTGTCATGACTGGGACATAGGTGGTCAGATCTAGTGGTCAGAGTGGAAGTTGGGCTCGGTTGGGTGTCAGAAGGCCAGACTCCAGGACAGGCCAGAGGGCAAACCAAGAGCCAGACGCCAGGAGGCAGGCGGAGTCAGAAGCTGCAGTCTGGAGTCTCTCACATGC